TCTGCAGGAGGATTAAGTTTTTAAATAGTTTAAGGTTGTGGAGTGGCTTCACTGGTAGCTTTCATTCACAGAGGAGCCTGTTTCTTGAGCTCTGTAGCCTGTGTTAAGTGGGCTGTGAAAAGGTGGTATTGCTTAAGGGGTGTCTCTTGCTGTTCTTGTCTCACAGTACTGGTGTTTGAAGCAGAAGAAATTGATGCACAACCCTTACCTTTAATTATTGAAGTACAGAGACACTTACCTGTTGAGCTCTTTTCAAACGTGCCATCCAGATGAGACCTTGCTTGCCTGGCTCCTGCCTGTCTTTGTGGGCTTGCAGCTACTGAGGCATGTGGTGGCCCCCACCTCTGGGTGATGGCTGCTTACCCTATCGAAGAGAGGGGTGTATAGGAAGGCTGCACAGCCTGGTTGGTGCTCAGAGTGTGCGGTGCCGGGGCCTGCAGCCTGGGGACATGGGCACCAATTCAGCTGTCAGGGAAAACACACCTGATGGCAAGGGTAGGTCCAATAAGTCTGTTTCTGTGCAATAACTGATTTTTAAAGGTGCGGCCTCCAGTTCTTTGTTCCTGTGCCTCCTATAAGGCAGAGCATGTGCTACTGGTTATTTTTAGCATGGAAAGTTTTAAGAGCCCACGTGGTCCCAGTTAGTTTGAACTCTGCCAGCCTTGTCCAGTTCTCTTTCACCCAGATAGGATTTATTTCCTGAGTGCTCTGACTATAGGGTCTGCACGGAGTCATCCTGTCTCTGCTGTTGAAGCTGCATTTCCAGTTTAGCTGCCTGCTTGGTTGCTCTGTGATCCTTCAGGATGGTCTTTAATTCCAGCCTTGGTTTCCACTGCTTTTGGGGTTTGGAAACGTAACCTCTCGAGTGCTGGGGCAGGAGGGAAGCTGTGGGGAACGTCCCTGCAGGGCATGGGGGCTCCATCATTTGGGAACTGTCCTTGTCTCCCTTCTTCTAGAGACTGGAAGCAGCTTGCCCCCAGAGCAGGCCTTCCTGTGTGTGGAAAGCCCTGGAAATCTGGAGCAAGTGCCTGCTGAACATTCCTCTCAGACCTTGAGACTGAATTATCTGGCTTCTCTGTGAACCTCGTGCTGCAAACATTTCTAACCTTATACTGATACAAGGAAAGCAAGTGCCTGGAAAACATAGGGTTAAGATACTTTTAACTTAGGTCTAAGACAGAGAACAATGTTTGTGTTGTAATTCTGTGGTGTGAGAACAGAATTTAGTAGTCTTGCTAACAAGAGTGAATTATTTCTTTCCATCCTTCTAATGAGTGACCATCCTTCTAATTACCAGTTAGTTTGGAGACGGTGACTCCCGACCATCTGCTAGCTTGGGAGGCAGGAAATTTTGTGGACGAAGGTCCCACTGTTTGAAATCTTCGCCAGCTATCAGGAACTTGCAGATATGGCTGGTTTCAGCTCATTCGTGATTCCTGGGGCATCCGACTGTGCCAAAGGTGAAAAGTGCACCCTGAGGAAGACTGCTTACTTCATCTTGAAGACCCCTGCCCACGACCATCAGAAGGCAATGCGCAAGTGCCAAAAGGGAGGAGACTTATGATAACGAGTACCTAAACTAATTGTCATATCCCTGCCGGAATATGCATGTCTGTGTGTAATAAATATCTGCTTGCTTAACCCCTCGGTGTGCAGGTTAGGAGGAGCGATCCCCCTTGCAGCCGGTGCCGTAACAAACATGCCTGCTTTGTAACTCTCTTTGAGCTGTAGAGTCTGATTTCATGCCTCCATACGGATGTGTCTTCTGAAGGGTTGTTTGTGCTGGCGAGAGAAACGAGGTGGCTTAAAACTGCTCTGGGAGCCTAATGTGAGCCAGTAGAATAAGTTGACTGTCCTTGCCTTTGTTTTGTAAGGTAGGCGAGCGTGTGGGTTCATTCTTGTCCTCATCCCCCTGATCTGTACCAGGAGTTTTCCATAAATCAGGTCAGGATACAGATTCAGAGTGCGGCCTGACCCCTCTTCTCCCCTTGGTGTCTTAATCCTATCCTGACCCACTGTGGGGATTATTTAGCCAGTTGGAAAAGCCTCATGCCCTCGCTGCAGCTCCGTGTGTTGATAGAAGGTGTGACATTTAGAGTGGATTCCTGACATGCCAGGAGGCAGAAGTGGAAGTGGCTCCTGGTGTGGGGCAGCCACGTACAGTGTACGAGCTCCGCACTGTTTCTGGTGCAGGACTGCACGGAGCCCTGGGCGTTGGGGAACGGCACTGGTGCATGCAGTGTTCACACTGTTTCTGGCTTCCCCAGGCTGCTTGTCTGTGGCCCAAAGCCTCCGGAGCTGCTGTGCTTCCCCAGCTGGCTCCTCCTGCCTGGAGAGCGCAGGGGCTGCTGGGCCAGGCTCCTCCAATTTGGCACTGCTTAAGGCCATGTGATTTGACAAGTTGCCACGTTCTGTTCTGCTGCTGGCAGGAGAGTCCCAGGCTTGCTTCCCCCCCTCCATGTGTATAAATGATCCCTTTGCTCCTGCGGTCCTGAACTGGCTGTCGAGTTGGCAATGGAGAGAGGGTTTTGTCACTTTTCAACCTGTTGGACAAAACGGATGTGGGCTGTAGGAGCTCCCCTGTGGAAGAAATGAGGGAGAAGTATGTGCTGCATCTTACAGGGGTTGTGTTGAGCAGGTTAAAAACCGGCTGTCTTCAAGGCATCGCATGAAAGTGGTGTTGTGACCGGCATATTAAAATCAGGCCACCAAAGTCTTCCTGTCGTGTTTATGCAAGGAGATGTTTGTTAATGCCAGCTGTCCCCTGGCCAGCCCAGTGCTTTAGGATGTCTGCTTGTGTCTTGTGCAGAGCCACTGCCTTTTGTCCCTTTCTGGCTGATGGAAGCATGTGGAATTCCCATTTAACCCATCACTGGTAGTATAATGCAGCTCTTGCTGAAACTAGTCAATTTAAAAGCATGAAATGAAATAAGCTTTGCATGGAGCGGTCAGCTAACCCACCATCCCCACTGATCTAAACATCACAGAGTAGAGATCTTTAACTTAAATGATTTTAATGTTTAAAAGGACTCTTGGAATTGCGTGGTCTGTCAGGCTTTGGGATGGGCCTGGCCCTCTGTGGGGCATCCTGCTACTGCCTCCCTGTGCTGCAGAATTGTGTGGGACCATTGTTTGTACAGTTGGTGCAACTTAATAGGGAATGAGGTGATAATAGGGCTGTCTGTTTAATCGGGGAAGCTTGCTGGGAATGGACTTGTGAGCTACTTTGAGTTTGTGGTGCGCTGTGAGACAGCTTGTGGAGTGGTTCTGCATGAATGACAGCAACTTAAGCTGGCAGCAGATGAGCACTCCCAAGTCATTCCCAATGTGCCATTGTGCTGGAGAGCAGAAATGGGTATCTTTTGTTTCAGGAATGTATGTACAGGCTTCATGCTTTCCACTTACCAAGTTCCAAAAACCAAGCATCCAAATTACTGCCTAGATTTATTGTGGTGGTGTGTTTTTTAATTCCAAGTCTCAGATGTTGCTGTTAACTGAAAGTTCATCCTCAGCAATAAGCCCTGCTGTCTGACTGGAAGGAACTAGGATTGAAGAGACATCAGACATGAGTGTCACAGAGTGAGCAAGACTCGAGTTTCCTGTGTAGATCAACCTTGGCGATATGCTGGAGATGTTACTGGACTCCTTAACTCATGTCTGCAGCTGAGCTTTGATTTGGGGTCGAGCAAGACATTTTTGAGTCCCTGTTTCTGCTGTTCATCTCTTTACTTGCCTCAGCCAGGCTGGCCTTGGAGCAACCTTCTCTAGTGGAAAGTGTCCCTGCCCATGACAAGGGTTTGGAAGTGGATGAGCTTTAAGGCCCCTTCCAAGCCAAACCATTCTGTGACTTGATGACTGTATGACTCTGCAGCAAGCAGTACAGAAGGCAGGCTGGTGTCTGAGATAGCTTGGATGAAGTTGTGTGTTTGTTCCTGTGGGATAGGAGTTAGGGGCTGGAGGAGGTGAGAAATCTGGAGTGTATATTAAATGCTCCAGGTCTCGGATGCTCGGTTTGGGTCTGAGGGAGGCATGGTTTTGTCCTTAGCTAGAGTGTGATCGGCTGCTGTGAAAATCAAGGCCCTGAAAGAGGGTATCTGGAAGGAGGCTTGCTCTGATAATGAAAGGCGTTTTCTGTTAGCATAGTCAGAGACTGACTTGATTGTCTCACCTTTTTTATGCGTCTTTATTTTTCTGAAGAGGAACTCGATAGCACTGTTTTTTTGCAGTGGGTGGTTCCCACCCCTAGGATTTTATCTCCTGAAAACAATCTTTATCTTTGTTGCTTACTGGTGAAAGTCTTGGGGCCCGTTTGGAGAAAAGCCTGTTGTGTGTAAGCATTGTCAGACACGTGGGTTCTGCTTTCATTCCTGCCCAGTGAAAATATAAACTGAGTGTCCTTTGCACTCGTTGTTCTGGGGATGTGGGGAAGTTCAGCTCTCTGTGCCAGCTCCAGGCTTTCCTGAAGGAAATGGAAAGGCCTCTCAGCCCTGCCTCATAGAAGGCTTGTAGAGGAGGCTTGTAGATGGAGAAGCATGGCTGGCCCATGAGTGCCAGGGGTGTCCAGGCAGGGAAGGGTTCACACACTTTCTGAAGTTGAAGAGAAAGCTTTCAGCTCCAAAGTCAGAGTAGCAGTTGTCCATGTAGGGAATTTAATGTGGAATAAACTGTTATGAAGCCAGCCTGCTGCTGGAGAGACTGCAGTGCTGGATGCTGTCCCTGTGTGTAGCAGAGGGGAGGCAGGGGAAAGAAAGTGAAATGGGTTCGAGTGGAAAGGGGGGTAAGGTGAAACTGATGACTGTAATGGTGAGAAATGTCCAGAGATCCCTGGTCTTAGGTCAGGATCTTGTTCCATGGTCTCTTGTAGAGCAGAGATGTGAATTTAAAAAGCAAATGGAAAACAAGCCTGTTCCTACTACTAGAGGTACCTCAAGGCATTTATGAAACTTTAGTCTTCCTGTTCCCTTCCCCGTGGCTATTGTAAGATGCTTTCTGTTTCTCCTTCTAGGTATAACTGTGGAGACTTTCAAAATGTCTTTATGCTTCCGTAGTTTCATCACGTTTGCCGTACCTGGAGTGCTGGCACTTTATGGGTGCTGGTGGATTTATTCCCATAGAAAAAAGCATAGAACCTATCAAGAGAAACCAGCAGTAGCTGCTGAAGAGCAGCAGGAAGAAGTGACAGAGCAGGATTCAGCACCAGGAACAGAACCATGTGTTCCGCAACGACAGCTCTCCTTGCTGGAAGAGGAGCACATGGAGAACAAAACCTCGACCTCCCTGCTGACAGCAGGGTTGACGATGCCCTCTGTTCTGTGTCACACTGATGAGAGGCTGGATCTCTCACCAGCCTTGCCAGTGACAACGAATCAGCCCAGCACCCTTGAGAACGACAGTGAAAAACTAGAAGAAACGGGATCTCAAGACGAAAAGAGTGTCCCTGCTTGTGTTTCTCTCCCTTGGGAGCCTGCCTGTTCAGAGCAGCCAGGGGAAGAAGACGTGTCCAGGTCAATTGCCAGTACTGTACCTGTGTGTCAGGAGGAGGAGGACACACAGCCAAAAGGAGATGAATTGAGAAGAGAGAAGGTTAGAGGAGTGGGTTTGTGCAAGGAAGACATTGAGAAAATTGAGCAAGTGACGATACAGATTGTTTCCAAGGTCATTTTGGCAGCAACTGAGGAAGTGCTGTCAGGTGCTGCGAGTGATGGGTCCACTCAGCTCTGCCAGGCTGCTGCTAGCCAAGCTGAGGCACCTCTGGAGACGGCAAGTGCTGTTTCCACTGATCAGACACTTGCAGAGGAAGCTGCAGTAGCTGATACGAACGGTGCTGGACAGAATGATGCTGTGGTACTGACATCCCCACAGACAGAGGAACAGGATCAGGATGTTACATGTTCAAGCTGTTTAGCACAAAGCCCCATTGAGGGAGCCACAACAGACTGTCAGATGAAGACCCCTGTGTGCAGGGAGTCCCAAGGAGGTGTTCGGACTCCTGTGGAGAACCACAAAGGTTCTCCAGAAAAGTCACCTTTGGTTAGGGAGGGCTCTTCATGCAGCACATCCACATGTGAAGGTGGGGCATGTGTGGAGGGCCCGCTGCAGAGCACAATGCTGGCTGTTGCATCGGGCCAGCATTCAGGGTTACTGAGTTTATCTGCAACCCGAGACACAAGTGCTGGGCAGAGCTCCGGGCCAAGTGAAACTCAACCTACTCTGAAGCTGCCTGAAGACAATGAAGTGCCATACAGCAATGGAGTGCTGCAAGAGGATGGTCCAGACCTGTGTAATGAGTGTAGCAAGGCACCAGGAATAGATGGAGACTGCCTACAAGGTAAGCAATTTGAAAATCCTCTTACACGCCCATGGTGAACAAGCATTTTATGTGCTGTAACCCTCCTGGATGTGCAGATAAAGCTTCCTGTTTAATTTCTCCAGTAAATGACTATTTCGCCCTCAGGTGCAGGTGGGTCTGCATTTGCTCTCAGAATTGGTATCTCTGTAGGATCCAGTGTCAGCTGGGTGATCTTCAGGGTATACTGCAAAGGGGTGAACAGGCTGGTCCCTGTTGAGCACAGAGCTTCTTGTCTAAAGCTGAGCATGTTCTCGAGTAGCCCAGTGAAATGAACTGTGTCTGGATGTAGGCCAGGCTGCTGAACACCTTGCTGGTTTGAAACCTGCTCATCCCAATGGTTTCTGCTTCAGTTCCAGCAGCCTCTAGCAAGCCCTGGGCTCTTCCCTGTGAGCTGCTGCTGTAAGGGGCCATGAGGCAGGTTTCTGAGGTGCTGCTGGACGAAGCAGGGAAGTGCTCTCATGAACTGTGATAAAATCAGTTGGTTGCAGACCAATTCCCCCGAAGCCTTTTTACCTGGAAGGGAAGGTGCGGGCCAAGAAATCCCAACAGGGAGCAGTGGTCATGGAGTTTCCCCATCTGTCTATGTTGCTTTTGCCTTCTGGACCCTGGCTGATGTGTATGTGGCAGAACGAAAAGCTGTCTGAGCAAATGTTAACCTGTGTGACCTTGGGATGGATGTTCAAGTCCTTTAGAAGACCCTGTGGTGCCAACAGCCCTTAATGACAGGGTGCCTTTTGTAATTGCTGCGGCGTAGTTGGAAGGCTGCTTGTTGCAAGGCATGTGCACTGAGTTTGCCAACAATTAAGGATTAAACCCACAGAACATTTCCTTTAGTGAGAATCACTGTAGGAAGATGGTGGGTTTGCCTTGTTGTGAATGCTGGTGTGGCAAAAGGTACAAATGTGTTGTGGAGCCTGATGGTGATGAGCTGAGACCTCAACACCCAGACAGCTGATGGGCAGGGAGAGGGGACAGAGCAGGGTGCTAATGTGGGATCAGAGGTCACACAGCTGAGCCTCACACCCAGGCTTTGAGGCTTCCATCCCCATCCTTGCCTTTCCAGGCATCTGTGCTGTGTTCCTAGTTAAGATGTGGCAAATGTGAAGCAAGTGTTTGGTTTATTTTTCTCTTTGGTCCTGCCCTGGAAGCAGGTGTTTGGTTTATTTTTCTCTTTGGTCCTGCACTGGATGGCCTGAATACTTGCAGGCAAGTGAGGGTCTTCATGCTTCTGCTTGTTAATCTGAAGGAAGGATCAGCCATGTGTCACACTGCTTGTATCTGGGATGCGACCAGGAGGAAGAGGTTCGAGTTTGTCCCCCTCCCAAGTAGAAACGTTCGTGGTATCAGCTGATGGTTTGGGAAGAAGCTGTAGCTTGGCTCTGGCACCTTGCTTCCTCAGGCATATGAGCGATTTGGGCAACAGGCAATCCCCTACCCCCGCTAGCAGTGGGCCACCCCTGGCACTCAGGTCCCTGTGCACCATCTGCTGGGGCAGGAGTGTAATGTCAGCACAAAGAGCAGATGAATAGGTTGCACGTCCCTCCTTGCCTGCTAAACTCCCTGTGAAGAGCCCTGCCCCGGCCGTGGGTGGAATGCAGAATTCCTTGGGCAGCAGCAGGCTCTCCTTCAGCTTTTGGTAACTTTGGCTTCTGGTGTCTGTGTCAGCCGCTGTGTAAGAGGTCGCTGTGTTTGAAGGATGCTGGCTCAAGTCGGGCTGCTTCCTGTGGCATTCCCAGAGCTGTGCAGGCTTTTCTCTAGGAATAAAAGGAAACTTTCAGTAGGCTGCATGTGATGGGAACCCTTTCTGACACACTGGAGAACCCGATACAGGAGCACCCTGAGTGAAGGCATGAGAACAGCTCTATGTAACCCCTCTATGAAATGATGTCTTTTCATGGCTTTGTGCCTGGGAGCTGGACTGGGGGGGTTGTCTGAATGCTGACACATGTGCATGTCTTGCAGGATTGGATGAATGTGGTACGGACTTTGTGAACAGTGGCTGTGCCATGAAGAACGCAGTGACTCAGCAGAACACTAAGATAGGGAGAGAAACCAGCAAGTGTGACCACGTCATCTGGGAAATAGAAGTCCCAAAGGTAAGCAGCTGCTGGCCTGCTCCTGCATCCTGCCCTGCCCTACACAGCCGTCTTCTGGCTCTTCCTGTCCTGCACTGGCTTGGTGCCTTCTCAAGGGCATCAACAACACAGGAGGGTTTAAGTGATTCGCTCCCATTAGGACTCAGCAGGAGGGAAGAGCCAGGACAAACTGTAAACATGAGGCACTCAAGGCTGTGGCACTCATTATTCCTCATGATCTTCCACCCCAATCTGTTGGTCAGATGCTTTGAAAGCATTCAGAAGGTTTTGAGGGTACACAGTTATTAAGAGCAGGTGATGAAATAAGCTGCAGAGAACAGCGTTGGTTGATCAATATTTCTCTTGCTGACTGTTGCTTTCTTGTCCCCTTCATAAAGGAATTAGTTGGCCGCTTGATTGGCAGACAAGGAAAATTTATGAGCTTCCTGAGGCAGAAATCTGGTGCCAAAATCTATGTCTCGACAAAGCCTTATTTCCATGATTCCCAGGTCTGTCACATTGAAGGTAAGTGAAAGTCTCTTAATTCACTGTCTAATACGTACCTTGGGGGCCTTAATTAGATGGGCAAGGAGTTCAAACAGGGTTAGTGCCTCTTAGTCCAGTGCTTTACAAAGCTTTCTCTTCAGTGCTGTTACAGTAGAGGTCTGTGCCAGGTCACCTGTGCCTTGGCATGTGAGCCCTGTTCTAGAGGTGAGAATGTGTTTTAATGTCTTCATCTGCTGTAGTTTAAGCAACACCATCTGTAGGATCACTTCGGGCCTCCAGGAGGAGCTATGGGATGTGTATCAGTTACATGGCCAATCTGCTGAAACTGAAGTTGTTGCTGTAGTGCAGAAGGCTTCTGGCAGCTGTGTTGATTCATGTGGCAAGGCTGGGGTTGTCCTCACCAAATCTGTGCTACAGACCTTCTGTGGAACTTCTGTCTTCCAGGTTTCCCGCATCAAGTAGAAAAAGTACTGAGCCTGATTGGCATGAAGTTCAAGGAGCTGTGTCTTGCCAATGTCCACGATCTACCTCCACCAGCACCACTGACACTTCATTCCCTCCTTATGACTGCCTGGGTGAGTCCCAGCTTGCTGGCTATGCTGATGTCAGGGTGGAAGGCTGTTGCTGGTCACTGCCATTGTAGGATGCTGTATCCATGTCGCTGGCTCACAGATGCCCTCAAACCAAGTTTGATTTTGTGTGGCTGGTTGTTGTCTGGTTGATTTTACTGTTAAGAGATCAGGTTTACCTACCTGTTCTTCCACTACTGTTCCCATTGTGCCTGTAGTGACTGTGCACATAACTGTTTCCATGGATGTGAAGATAGGCTTTATTCTAGAGAATTGAATTTATGCTGGCAAATTAAAGGCATTTTGGATGTATTCCAAGCACAGTAATGCTCAGAAGCTGCCCAGCACAGTGGCTCTCTAGCAGCCAGGGAAAATGACTTTGAAAATGAGGCTTCTGTGACAAATCTTGGACAATCCCTGTGAAGATTACCTTGATGTTTAAAACCTCCATGGGCAGGGAATCCTGGCAAGTTGCACAGTGTTGATAGTGCAGCATGGCTTGACCCATCGTTCCTGACTCTGCTCGCTGATCTCTTGGGTAAATGAGTCTTGCAGCTGCTCTGTGCTGATAGTCTTTTTGGGTACAAGAAGGGCCCCAGCCCAAGTCTGATTTCCTTGAGAACAGCAGGGAGTTAACAATGGGTAGCCTTCTGCTCCTGATCCAGAGCAGTCTTTAGAAGTGAAATACTACTTTGCCACGGCTGTAAGCCTCAGGAGGTGCTGGTGGAACAGGGAGCTGCTGCGAATGAAGCTTGAGTTGCAGTGAACGCTAATGAGAGCTTCTTTCCTCCACGTGACAGCTCTTCCTCCCGGATGGAGTGACTGTGGAGGTGGTCGTGGCGCACCAAGTCGATGCAGGGCACATGTTCCTGCAGCAGCACACTCACCCCACTTTCCATGTCCTGAGGAGCCTTGAACAGCAGATGTCTGTCTGCTACTCTCAACCTGCAATTCCAACCCTGCCAACTCCAGTAGAAGGCAAGTAACTTGGCTGCTCACAGACTGTTCACTTGAGAAACCTGGAGGGTCATGTGAAATCCTGCTGCCCTGAGGTAGGCTTGGGAGGCTTCCCAGTGCGTGAGATGTGACAGTTCGTTTGTTATTCCATTTATTTGGGCTTTTCTTAATAGGTAAAGCACAAGGCGTTGCTCTGTTCTTCCTTACCCCACTCATCCCTGAATACCTCTCCGGCCACTTAGTTGCACATTGAAATTCAGAAGGAGAGAAGTCAGTCTTGGTTTATTTCTTATCTACCTGGCACCCGATATATTTTTGCTGACAAAGTGTGGAGCTACTCCCACATCTTCATCGTGTCACTGTCTGTACATGGTCTAAAGTGGAGGGTGCATCGTGTGGAAAGGAGTTATTAGTCATAACTAACGCCTGAAGTGCTGATTTCTGGAAATCCACTGAGCTTTCTTCTCTCTACCCTTATGTTCTGCAGTTGGTATTATCTGTGCAGCTCCAGGCCTGGATGGGGCATGGCTACGGGCTCAAGTTATCAGCTACTTTGAAGAGACCAGTGAAGTAGAACTCAGATATGTCGACTATGGAGGATATGACAAAGTGAAGGTCGACACACTCAGACAAATCAGGTCTCTAGCTCCTCTTCCATGGCCTGAGGCCATATCTGGCTCAAATCTTCATCAGAGGCATCTGTATTGTTTGAATTACTTCTAGGTTTTTCCACAGCTGAAGTGGGAATTGGTAGAAAAGTTTGTCTCAGCAGCAGGGGTGGGCTCCCTGGCAGCACAGCAAGCTCTTGCAAGGCTTTCTTGAAGGGGAGGGAAGAGGAAATTGTGACTTCTGTCACTTCAGCGTGGCAGCTGAGCAAAAGGATGCCTTTGGGAGGCCCCAAGGTGTCGTTAGTTGCTGAGCTAGGGATAAGATTGGGATTCTCTATGCTCCAGCCCCACTGTCTGGAAGAGCTGTATTGGATGAGGGTTTTCTTACACAAGCCCATTAAATACCTGATTGTGCCCAGAGGTAGGAGGAAAGCAGTCCAGGCTCCATGGTGGAGGTGGCTTTTGCTTGGAGCCCAGTCCAACCTGGCATGCTCATGAGACAATGGATTGCTGCTGCTTAGGTTGCTGGGAGGTTGTTTTGGACTGTTGTCAATTTTAAACTAAATCCCTGTTACAGCAACTGATTAATCAATGTCACCTGAAAGAATACAGGAGTGACTTAAAGCCCTGTTCTCATTCTGATGGCTTCTCTTTTCTTTAAGGTCTGACTTTTTATCGCTGCCTTTCCAAGGAGCAGAAGTTTTACTGGACAATGTGGTGCCTCTTCCAGGTAATGGAGCTCCTGACAGCTACTATTGGCGGCCCTCCTGCAGTGTCAGTGGGTGCCAGCAGTGGGCAAGCGATGATTGTGCCTGAACCTTCCCTCTCCTATTGCAAGCACAGCCTTTGGTGTGACTAGAGCAAGGACTGGAAAGAATGAATTTTATCCTTCTAAATGTGCTAGCATGGCAGAACCTGTCAGACTCCAGGGGAAAGATGATAAATGTCCAGGCTTTTTCCTGCTTGGAGGAGAGAGTGAATTACTCTCCTAAAGAGCAAGTTGGCAGGGCTGGCAGTGTATTAAGTGAAGTAGCTGTAACTACTCTGCCACCTTCTGTCATAAAGTAGCTGTAAATGCGAGCTTAGTTTTAATGTGTTAAGCCAATATCTAATACTTTCCTACTGAAGTGACTGATGTGTATAGTTCTGTGTTCAAAATGCTACCATTCAAGCCCTGGCAGAGTGCCATGGTGGTAGAGATGCCTGATGGCTGGGGGCCTAAAAAGCTGCCTTGTACGGAAGGGGTTTCTGTAGGAGCTGGGGGTCAGGTGGGTCAGTAGTGTCTTCAGGGTCAGTGAAGTCCTGAGGCCCTTGAGCTTAGTTTATTAAGGATCAAAATACTAATGACAGCTCAAAGGTACTGCAGATAGGCAGTTTTCTATCTTTAAAGCCTCCTAATTCATCAGCCACTTAAATTCATATTAACTTAGCTAGTGGCTTTAGAAACCACTTCATTCTTCCCTTCAGCACCACAGCAGGCATAATGCTTGTGTGATCTCCAGCTTAATAAGCTGGTTTCAGCGACAGTGGGTGAGGATTCACTGGCCTAATGGGTGTAGGAGGTCAGGCAAGATGAGCTTAATAGTCCTTTCTGGCCTTTAAAGCCTGTGACCCTGCTTTGTTTTCTCCTGCTCCTCCCCAAGATGAGGATCACTTCTCCCCTGAAGCTGACGCGGCTGTTGGTGAGATGACCAGAGGCGCAGTCCTTGTGGCGCAGGTACGTGGAGCTGTTGGGGAAAGTCCTGCTGCTGATGGTGCTGCTGCTGATGGTGCTGCTGCTGCTGCGACTCTGTGCAGCCCACATCCTGCGTGTGTGTGAAAACAGACAACAAAGCCAGAGCCTGGAAGTCTGGCTGCTGGGCAGGGGCTTGCTGAGAAATCGTGGTGCTGAGAACTTCCTGGTGAAGCATCAGTTACTGCTGAGGGCTGTGTGGCTTGGAAAGGGATGAGTATTCCCTCTTGTGAGTGATGTGGGCAGAAAGCCAGGGTACAGATTTGAGTGATGAAAGTGAACTTGCCCACAGGGTGTTCCAGCTGCTGCCTGGTGGCAGGAGCTGCATTTCCTGCAGCCTACACATAGGAAGGGGTATCTGACAGGGAGTGAATGATGCTGGCCTTGCATCCTTCATGGCTCACACCACAACTGCTGCCCACTCTGTTTTTTCTGTGTTTCCAGGTCACAAATTATGACAGTGCAACAGGACTGCCACTGATACAGCTGTGGAACTTGATGGGCGATGAGGTACGTGTGTTGACATACCTATTCTGTTGGAGTTGATGCTAATGCAGGCTTTCTACTGTTGATTAGGAACTTGCCAATTGTTTTTTTTTTTCTAATGGCTTGTTCACCTTTCTACTTTTTGTTTTCTTTCTTTTCACCTCCCTTTAGGTGGTGTCCGTAAACAGAACTCTGGTGGAAAGAGGCCTTGCTCGGTGGCTTGACTACTAGCAATGTCCTACCATTTCCCTAGAAACACATACCTCATCTCAGTGAAAGGCGGGGTTATTAAAAGCCATAATGACAAATACTGTAGCTTTAAAGCAAAAAATCCTCTCTGGCCTCTACTCAAAAGCTGAATGGGAAAAACCTTAAAACCTTACGGCTCGTTCGAAGGTAGCAAATGCCCTTTAAGCTGTGGTCGTTCCACATGTATAATACCCATGAACTTAGTGTCTGCTTTTCCTTCCAAGTTCCATTGGTTGTCCTTTTTTAACAGGCTCTGCCTATGAAATTAATGAATGTGATTAAGGAATTTAATGTTCAGTTATGGATTTCTCTATATTGTGCCACTAACCTGCATAAACAATATTCATCTTGTGTCTTCCTTATGCCAGGAGGTAGATGAATTGCATTCGTTGCACTTACTGTGGCACCTGTCTCACTGCAGTCATGGTTTTTAGGCTTGATACGCTTAAGGAAGAAAGCTGCTCTGTGCAGATGCTTGAAGGCAGGATGTGTTACCACTACAATTTTTGCTCTGAAATGATGTGTATTTAAAGAAAAGAACTGATTGCCAAGCCCAATTGTAGTTTATATTTTTCTAGCTGTGCAAGTCTGTAAATATATATAAAAAACCCAACACTGTAATATTTTGTACAAGAAAAACACTGGAAACAAAGGGAACTTTACAGAAACTTTTTCACACCAAAATGTCCTCTGTAGGTAGAACTGGTTTGGAGTGCATTAGGGTAGCCAACATTGGAGCATCTGAATGTTGGGAGTGTTTCAGCTCTGCTGTATACAGGATTAGGATTCCACTAGGTTGCTGTCTGGTTGGAGTTGTCATCACTGCGTTCTTTATTATGTTGCTGTACAGTTCTGTTTAAAAAGAAAGCGATAACTTGGCATTAAAGCTGCAGTGGTGTTCTCCTCTCTTTCCTTTTATTTTTCTTTTTTTTCTTTTGAGATTTCTATGACGTATTTAAAATTCTGCTCAAATAATTTAAGCTGACTTGGTACTCTTTAAACGTGTGGCCTCTAATGTGTATCATGTTAGGTGTGTATTGAGCTGGCATTTATGGCTGGCAGAGAAGATACTCACCAGGAAGATGTTGATGCAGTCAGTCCTCAGAAGCTTTTTCAGGTGGATTCAAGTATGTCTTTGCATCCTATGAGCTAACATGTCAGTGTTTGGATAGTTCCCTACAAAAGCATTTGGTGCAGCCCTTCTGATATGATATGGTTATATCTCTCTCTTTTGAGTTCTCTCCTATTCAGTGCTTATGGTTTAACGTTCATGTTTGCAGTAACATCCAGTGAAAACTCAATTTGGTAACTAAGTGAAATCTATAAAACCTATTATCTTGGAATGTTTCTTTCCATTTCAATTAAAGCTCAAATTTTAAGCTGTCTTAATCAAACTGTGATGACTGAGAGCCTTCATTTCCTGATCTCCTATGATGTAGGGCTGGGAAGGGAGCTTAATGGGGTAAGCAGGTGAGCTCAGACCCTGATCCTGGCTTTGCAAGAGATGCAGAAAGGTCAAGCTTCAAATCTCCAGGGCTTCATTTTACTTCCAGCTGAAACCCAGGTTTATTTTTTATGGTGAATTACTTATTAGAAAGCCTTAGTCTGAGCACTGGTACTCAAGGCTTTGAGACTGTTGCGTGTTTGTGGAATTAACTTACTCTGGATTCAGGGCGTCCCTTTTGTCACCCTTGTGTATTGAAAAGAGAAACTTGGGAGTCTGTTTGTGTTGTGCAGGCTATAAAATCCCCTCTTCAAGATGATGACAAGTTTCTTGTTGAAGCCAAGCAATGCAGTGATGTCAACAGTTTGTCCTTGCTCTCAATACTCAAGATATTTGAGCACCTTGCAACCGGAAAAGTCTGTTCTTGCAGTAAGCTGTATTCACCCTCCCTGTGTGGAAAAGGGAGGGCACGGGCTGGACTGACCCCACTGGGGCTGCATGGAACCAAGTGTGTTCAACACAAGTTACTGCAACAAGACAAAAAGAGTTGAAGAGAAACCATCAGACAATCCTTTTGATGCTGTGAGCTTGAACCTGCCAGCGCTGGTGCTGCTTTTGGACTTCTGGAGCCGTGGTGCATCCTCCTGCTGCTGGCGTGTCTGGTGGTGGGAGCGCTCCACGTTTTCATGAGCAAAGGAGCGGTTTTCTAAGCAGGGTATTAGCAGGAAGCACCCAGAACAGGCAAGTCTGGAGATCCTTACAAGACCTGCGGCCACCCAAGTTCAGCTCCACCAAAAGCAGGAGGCTCACAAGTTGAGGATGAAACCAGACAAGCTTCATACCTGCTGCGTGTCCATTCCCGAGAAGCTCTAGATGTTCTCTGCAGGCCGAGGAAACTCTGTTATGTTTTGCTAAAAGAATAAAAAAAACAAAGTAGAAAAAGTGCTTCCTGTTTGTTTCCTGGATTGCCTGGAAGCATCCCTGGCTAATCCACCCTCCTGAGACCATGGAAAAGTGAGTAATGGCCCCTGCTTTGGCTTGTCTATGCTGCCTGCGAGTTTATAGACTTCTCTGTCACCTGTCTCTGTTCCAGGCTGAAGCATCTGAGGTATTTAGCACCTAGGGCTGGAGCTGGTGGATACCATACCTCCTCCCTGACACCCAGCCTGGGCTTTCCTAGCCCTGTAGTGCTTTTCCTGAGGTGAATGCATGCCAGAAGCTTTCCTTCTTTTGCTGAATCGAGTAGAAAAGCTGCTGCAGATTCCAAGGTGAGTATTTTGGTGTCTAAAACCAGGGTTGGCTCCTTATGAAGGTGTTCTCCATCCTTGTGGAGAGCAGGAGGTGACAGGAGTTGTGCTGTAGCTGTGACTGTAGCAAGGTTTCAGCCTTCCCCTGGGAGAGGGGAGATGGGCTCAAAGGGACTTACTATGATTCATGTTGCACCTTCCCCAGGAGGCCACTAGGGTTTGGTGGTCTTGTTTTAAGCATGAGAACAGGGACCCTCAGCTCCAGAGCCGAGCTGGGTGAGCAAAGCGTGGTGCTCGTTGCCTGTCCCATGGAGCACTGGGAGCAGTGGGAGAGCAGCAGATGGCACTCGAGCCTCAGCCGAGCATCGCCGCCGGCTGCCGCTCTGGGTGGTTTCCGCACTGGAAGCGCAGCTATTCCGGCTCTCAGTCCTTGAAGGAATACGTGTCATCTTGAGCCATAAGATGCGGCTATAGGACCTTGATTTACATGCTTTGGATGTTCTTCTCTGCTCGCAGGTCCAGATTGTATCTCTGCTTGTGCCGATTTGCCCTTACACAGCTTCTGGACTTGAGATGATAACGCAAAAGTGTTACTTTTCCCTTGCAGAGACTGACCCCTGATTTGCTTGGGTTTTCCTCTGGTGGAAACACAGCTTTCTGCACACAGCTACCCCAGAGCACAGAACCAAGATTGCGTCTTCAATCAGATAGTATCTTTCCCACCCCCAGCCAAAGTGAAGCGAGCAAATTGTGCTTGTGCTGAAAAATGGACTTGTGGGTACTGAAAAGCACAGTTCCGTTTGCTCTATGCAAAGAGGCAACGGCCAGACAAGTACCAGTGAGTCAGAGAAGGAAATTCCCGTTGAGATGCTGCAAAGGTAGTGCGTGAAGGTGTTCTTATTTTGTTTAATTACAACAAATTCAAACCTTATTTTCATGTTTCTAGGCCCATTTGTATTTGAGACAGATCACAAACTGAAAGCATGGCATTACTCTACACAGGCAAACCCAGTGCTTTTAGGAGCCTTTAGGTAGGTGAAGGATGCTGTATATCACTGCTGTAATCTCACTTTGTTTATTAAGACCCAACAGAAGTAATTCAAACCTGCTCTCAGTGCTCAATGGCAGTGAGCACTGTGTACATCTGCTTGGATGTGAGCTTGTGTTACCAGGTGCAGAGTGTGACAAACTGGAGGATAAATCATCTTGCAAAGAAGCCTGGCTCTTGCACGGGTCTCAGTCAGGCTGGGGACCTGTGGTGGGGTCCACGCAGACACACGCATTTGAGGGCTCTTTTTTATCTCCTGTAGTGCTCTGTGCTGCTCTGCTCCCCGTGTGGTTGTGATTTTCCTCCTTTAGTTGCCTTTGCTTTGTGTGAACTGGGCTGTTGTGTTCCCAGTGATGCGTCTGAAGCTTCTGGGGTGGGGGCTCATGGTATGTGCTTGCTGCTTACTCAGGTTTTGCCCTTCAGCAAGACACCTAGGATGGGTTTGCCGAGGAACACCAAGGAACTTACCCTGTTCCCTGTTGAAGAGCCCAGCCTCAGGCTGTATGCGCCTGGACCCCCCCCCCCTTACGGAAAATGGGGAGGAAAAGCTGCTTCTGAGGCCCTGGCTCTGTCGTGTGAGAGATCCATATAAATACGTGGACTTTTGTTAGCAGCTTGACCTCTCTGCCACTGTTCTTGCTCTGTAGTGAAGAGGTGCACTCTTTCTTCCACTCGTCTGATTCCTGGGTAATAGAAGGGCTAAATGCTTATTACCTTTCTGTAGCCTTTTCCAGTTGCCAATCAAATGTGTCTGGTTTGGGGTTTTGTTTTGTTTCTTTGTTGCTGTGACTATGCAGGATGCTCTATCTCACTGTAATTATGGTTCCATCATTGTCTTGGCATGGAAACATCTGCTGTCTCCCTGCGATCTCCACTTCCGTTTCTGTAGAGAATTTCATGGATCACGATGACCTTCTATTTTCCATAACATCTCATGCATCTCGGCTGTTTGTCTTGTGATACCCTGCCTCTCCATCTACTTTTTCCAATCAGCATCTCCACTGCATTCAGGATTTCAGCTCATCTGGTTGTCAAATCAATATCTCACTCACTGTCTCCTCTGCATCGCATCCCCTGTACACACAGCACCTTTGCACCTGACTGCCTGGGCTGTTTTCTCCTCTGAGCTCAATTCATCATCTAGCCCATGTCTAACATCTTTGTTCTTCTTATTTAACATCTTAAAGTTAATTTTCTCATCCTTTTTCGTTTGGATGATGTTGTACCCTTCGGCTGTGTGGGTTTGAGGCTGCTGCTCCTCCCGGCAGTGATGTGCCACAGGATGGATGGAGGATGTTGCCATTCAAGGTGAAGTTGCTGCTGGCTGCTTGTGACAAACTGCAGTGAAGTCGGAGCATGGTGAGGGTTGGAGCTGAGGGGCTGGAGAAATACAGGTTTAAGTACTGGGTTTGTGTGACCTTGTTTAAAGATCTGTGAGTGTGATGAACGGAGACACTTCAGTTTTTATTTCATTCTGGCACCTTTTATCACCAGGACTTTACTGGTATACCTGTTCTCTTAAAAAATTTTCATAAAAGAAGTCAGTCCTGTATCTGCTGCAGAAGGGCCAATAAAACTCTTGAGAATGACAGGGTCTTAAATCATAGAATCAGTTAGGTTGAAAAGACCTTTAAGATCAGAGAGTCCAACGTTGCCATACCCCAAAACCTTTGACCAGATCAACTTGAGGGAGTGAAATTTTTTTAGGTCCTGTTACCTCTTCCAGCACTCCTTGCTTTGTGCCCCACCTGTAAAATGCACATCCCAGTTCTCCACCTCCTGGCCCTGTGTCTCTCCTGGCAGCAGGAGCCCCCATCCCACAGCTCCTCCGTACAGCTCTAGCACCGTGGCCACCAGGGTGATGCTGCAGCAAACCTAATCCTGAGAATATTAAAAGCACGTGTTGGGGGTTTATTCACCCTCAACCCATGGTCTTCATAAACTGAGGCAGGAATGTCCTGTTCTTGAAAAGCTTTGGCACCTGGAAGGTGTGACTGAGAAATGGCTCTTTATATGCTGGCAGAGAAGAGGGGTGTTGGTAGAGAGCAGAAGGCAGGGTGGAGGTTAATGAATCATGCAATAACTTCTTAGAAGGGTGGAAATTAAATTGTGCAGACATAGTTGTTTCCTCTTCCAGGAGTGTAGCTGTTTATGAAGGGATGAT